GTGGAGGTACCTGCTCCCACTGACGTTAGAGTAGACGGCCACCAGCGGCTTCCTGATGGCCACTGTCTTTAAAACCTGTGCCAGGGGCTGCACAGCGGGCTCCATGAGGCGGGTGTGGAAGCCGCCGCTCACAGGCAGCATCTTGGTGCGTCTGAAGTGGTACCTGGAGGAATTCTTCTGGAGAAACCGCAGAGCCTGAGGGGGGAAAAGAGGCTCAGCCAGGCAGGTCTGGGGAAGGACCCCAGGGGCAGAGGTGTGGTCCTGGCTGGGACCAAGGTCCTGGCCTGGGCTCAGCAGTGCGTTTCTCCCATGTGCACACAGGGTTAGTCCCGTGAGCCCTTGCGTGAGAACCTAATTCACATCTTTAGTCCCGGGTGAACGGGCTGGTGTGTGCCGTGTCCCAGAGATCCTGCTTTACAGAGCTGACCATTCCCATGCCCCTGGTGAGAAAGTGACCACAGAACCTCTGAAAAGTTGCCAATGTGGAAATGTGAGTCTGTCCCCGTCTCAGTGCTGACCACTCTGGCGGTTCAGGCAGTGACTTCATATCTTTGAACCTCTTCCCTCTCATCCCTTTCGCCCACTCTATAAGGCTGCCCAGGAGACTCCTCAAATGTGCTGCCTAAGAGCGTCTCCCAGGTGCGTTCATTCTCCATTAGAATTCTCCCCTCTCCTCAGTGTTACCAGCTTCTTGTTCCTCCATAATCTTCAAGACCAGAATAAAGAGGCAAAATCCAAGCCCCCTTTCAGGAAACTCATGAAATAGGCAGCTCAGCTGAGAAGCCCTGCAGCTATCAGTAGGTAGTGATCTGCAAAAGCCTTTAAAACAGTAAACATTCCTAAGAAGCCCTGGCCTCAGGGCACAACGAGCCAAACCACAGTGGGGCTGCTAAAGGAGGTCTGTGCAGGACAACTGCTCCTGACTCCACTCCCAGCCTGCTCAGAGGCAGGGCACGGGCAACAAGAGGTGCTCCCTAGTGCACTTGAGGTAGGACTGAAATTGGTCCCATGTAGATACATGATCACAGGCACTTTTACTTTATTTGTGCCTCAGTTTTCTCATTTGTAAAATGGGGATGACAATAGTTATCTCCAGGGCTATGAGAACTCTACTTAGCATAAAATTGCTATATAAGCGTTATAAATTTTCATCATCCACCATGTCCACTGGAAAGTCATTATAATAACAGGACAGCTATCTCTTCCCTAAAAGGGTAGGAGGGATTACCACTTTGGTTTGTTAACTCATCTCTCTTTGCATCCTCTAGCCCCACAGGGAAATCGTTCACTGCCCATCCAAGCATGACTGTGGGACGTACATTGACCAGTGAAGCCCACACCACACTTTCCTTGTCTTTAGTCTATCAGGTTCCACAGAGGGTGACCCAGCAGTCTGAACTCTGGGGTGAAAATGGTCAGCGGAGCCCAGCAGGACAGGCAAGTACCACGAGAGGGCACTACGTAGCATGCTGTGGCCACCAAGAGGTTTGGGTTGCTGGCTCCTATAGCACAACTGGGAATGATCTGTCCTGGGACTTCAAGTTTATTATCATCCTCAGTCCATCTGACGACGTGCCCCAGGAGCTTTGAGTCTTCTGACCAGGGGCCTCCAGAACCCTGTAGCCGTCCACCATGCCTACGCTGTCTTTATGACCTGCATCTATGTGGACAGCCACTCAGGGCACCTCCGTGGCATCTGTGGTCTCCAAGCACATTCCAGGTCAGGTTTCTGAACCTGCTCAAGGTTGCTAAGCCAACTCAAGCCCCGGGTTAGGGCCACAGGAGTCAAAGTCTCAATCAAAAGGCTCAGCAGGCTACTCTACGGATGCCCCCTGGCCCAGGCATTGGCCTAGCAGACTCAAGGAGTTTTCTCAATATCAATTGGTGGACAGGGGCCTCTTGCTCAGGTGCCCTCTCTTCCCTAAGTTCTTTGCACTTCCTTGGGTACCGAACAAATCTGGGACTTCCAGGAGTCCTTACCTACAGTAGATGGGATGTGGCAGGAACACTGTGGAAGAGATTCCTGCCTGACCAGGGGCCTCTCCTGGACACTTCGGGGCTACTCCCCAATTAACTGACCTGACCATCAAGTCAGAAGAGTCATAAGAGGCCCTGTGGGCTTTGGCTGATTTAGAGGGACATCTGAGGACATGGGCCTAGAGCAAGCCCTTAGAAGGGACCATCTGGGCATGATCAGGTGGAGGACACTAATTCCACAGAGAGAAAGACTTGGGTTCAAATTCTGCCTCTAGCCAGGAGCTGTAGTGTACACCTCTAATCCTAGCCACTGGGGAGTCTGAGGCAGGGGGACTACAAGATTGACGTCAGCCTGGGCAACTCATCAAGACCCTGTCTCAAAAAACCATCTGCCTCTGTCATCTCCAAGCACTTGCAACCACCTGTCCTTGCAGGTCTTTAGCAGCAGGAACTCTGACTAATCAGTCCCAGTGCCCCCAGTGCTTGTTAAACAGCAGATGCTTGATTAGTGACGTCTGGGGAAGCAGCAAATGAAAGGAAAGAGGGAAGGAAATTCACCTGTGGGCAAAACCAGACCCCCTACCGAAAAGCAGGGTGAGGCAGAGCAATCCAACAGACAGCAGCTCTTCCTCAAAGGAAGCAACCAGGTCAGAAGCGTCCAGAGAGGCCCTGAGGATTGCCTGATCCAGTCCCTTGAGCTTACATGCGGGCTGGGCTATTTCTTCAGGACCCCCTCTACTGGGGTGCAGTGGGCTGTATCCTAGCCTCCTGACCCCTGCCTCTGCAGCACTCTCTACCACACAGTCCCCTCACCACGCTTGCCCAGGCACCCACTCCAGCATGGGGGCCTCACAGGTACACAGCGACTCCTGCCTGCCCTGCTGGACTGGGCCCTATGAAGGTGGTTCCCATCAACACCAACCTCTAGGTGTCCTGAAATCACCCTGCAATCAGGAAAGAGATAGCTGGCCACCTCACACACAGGACTCTCTATGCCCAATGACTTGCAGTGCTTCTGGGCTTCCAAACAGGCAAAGTTGAACTTGGACCGAGGCTGGCCGAGGACAGATAACATCCCACTGGGAACAGCTTCTGAAGCTTCCTGCATGGCCTCAGCTCGAACTTTCACTGCATACAGACCTACCCAGAAAGAGATGCATTTGGAAAAATCAAAACATACAATAAAGGACGGAGGCCCAGACAGATGTTGACACTGATGTTTATTACAGCCCAGAGGGCCGCAGTTCTACCTGTTTGTGTCTGAATGCAGAGGGATTACTTCTGCTGTCCAAAGCAAGGAGTCCTCCTTGGCACTACGGGGCAGCCTGAGGAGCCTCCTACCTGGAAACCTGGGTGGTGGAGGACAGGGATTCTCAACCAGGGTGATTCTACCTCAGGCAGGGTGGGAGACACTTTCTGCTTGTCACAGCTTGGGGAGTCTACTGACACGTGACAGGTACAGGCCAGGAGAGACCATCCTACCAGGTGAAGGACAGGGCCCCTCAAACAAGGAATTGTCTGGTCCCTGATGTCAACATCTCAGCCATGTTGAGGAGCCCAGTAAGGACAGAAAGCAAATGGTAGCTGCACTGCCCAGAACCTCTGACTGGTTGAAATTTCTGGTTAGTAAGATGAGGACCAAAACACCCCATCTGCCTGGGTTGTTGTGAAGACTAGGAATTTCTATTATTGTTTAAGAGAAATCATATTGAAAAAAACAAAACAATTAAGAACCAACAGATACATGGGCTGCTGTACAAGCACAAACAAGTAAATGAATTTCAATAAAACATGAATAAAAATGTTGAGAGAACAGGGCTCTGCCCCCACAGTCAGGGCCAGTGACTGTGATGTGAGAATGGCTGTGACTACAGTCACCCCTGCAGGTCCTGGCTCTACTTCCTGGGCAGGGAAGGGCAGACCACGTCTAAAAGAGATGAAAGAACCCACCCAAGCTTGCCGGGCAACAGAGGTCCCCAAGGTCAAGTCCACAAGCTTTCTCTGTGACATGCCTCATGTACTCAGCGCTTAAGATACGTGTATGGGGTTTAGTCCTTCATCCCAGAAATTGTGCAGCACATATATTACTAAGAGCCTGTGGTAGAGCTGGACATGGTAGCATACGCCTGTCATCCCAGCAACTCTGGAGGCTGAGGCAGGAAGATTGCAAGTTCCAGGCCAGCCTCAGCAACTTAGCAAGACTGTCTGAAAAAAATTTTTAAAAAGGGGTCTGAGGATATGAGGATATAGCTAGTGTGCCCCTAGCTTCGATTCCAGTGACAACAAAGGAGCCCATAAGAGAAAGCAGAGAAAGAACGTTAGGGAGGTGGGGGAGCTGTGTAACTAACTCTCCATGCTGGCTCGAGAGCAACAGCCAAGCAAATGTCAAATGAAAAACTCAACCCAAAATCGTGACTATATTGTAATTCTACAAATTGCATATATATATAAAATTAACTCTACAGGTATTAGTTTTACTAGGATATGGAAATATGAAACTCTCCCCTTTTCATTTCCTGAATAGTGCTATAACACTTTGTTTAAATAGCGGAGGTGAGCCAGCCGAGTGGGCACAGATGATAATCCAACTAAAGGAGGAAGATCACAGGTCCAAGCCTAGCCTGGGTAATTTAGCAAGACCCTGTCTCAAAATAAAGGACAAAAAGGGCTACGGTAGAGTACCCTGGGTTCAATCCCCAGTATGGGGGTGGGGGATCCCACCACACTCCATTCCCCTTTCTTCCTCTCTCCACCCCTGGTCACCTGTAATCTGCTGTCTCTATGGATTGAAATCATGCAGTCTGGACATTTCTTTTTTTTCTAGTTTCGATTTTTGCAGTGCTGGGGATGGAACCCAGAGCCTTACACCTCCCAGACAGGTGCTCTTCCCCTGAGTCCCTTCCCTAGCTCCTGGATGTTTCTTATAAAAGGCACCATCCCCTAGGTCTGATTCTCTCACCTAGGATGTTTCTAAGGTTCAGCCATGCTGCAGCACATACCAGGACTCTATTCCTTTTTATTTAAAAAAAAAATTGGTGTGTGTGGGGGTACTAGGGGTTAAACCCAGGGGCACTTAATCACTGAGCCACATCCACAGTCCAGTCCTTTTTATTTTTAATTTAAGACAGGGTCTCGCTAAGTTGCTGAGGCTGGCCTTGAACTTGGGATACTCCTGCCTCAGCCTCCCAAGCTGCTGGGATTATAAGCAAACACCACCACATCCAGCTCTTTATTCCTTTTTTTTTTTTTTAAGTATTTATTTTTTAGTTTTCAGGGGACACAATATCTTTGTTTGTATGTGGTGCTGAGGATCGAACCCAGAACTGCGCGCATGCCAGGCGAGCGTGCTACCGCTTGAGCCACATCCCCAGCCCTCTTTATTCCTTTTTATGACTGAAAAATATTCTCCCATCTGGTGAATCAATTTGTTTATCCACATTCATCTGATCAACCTACCTTTTGGCTATTGTAAATAATGCTGCTATAAAAATCTGTGTACAAGTTTTTCTGTGTGGACATGTTCTAATTTCTTAGGTGTATATCTATGAGCAGAATTGTTGGGTCACATGTTTGTCAAAACTGTTTTCCACAGTAGTTGAACTATTTTATATTTCTTTTTTTTTTTTTTAAAGAGAGAGTGAGAGAGAGAGGGGGACAGAGAGAGAGAGAGAATTGTAACATTTATTTATTTTTTCTTAGTTCTCGAAGGACACAACATCTTCATTTGTATGTGGTGCTCAGGATCGAACCCGGAACGCACACACGCTAGGCGAGCGCGCTACCGCTTGAGCCACATCCCCAGCTCCTATTTTATATTTCTACCAGCTATGTATGAGGGTTCCTATTTTTCTACATTGTTCTCAATGCTTATTTTCTTTCTTCCTCCTCCTCCTCCTCTTCTTTTTTTTTTTTTATCTAAAGCTGTCCTAGTGGGTAGGAAATACTCTTTCTCTTCTTGTGGTACTGGGGATGGAATCCATGTCTTCACAAATGCTAGACAAGTGCTCTACCATGGAACTACATCTCCAGTCCTTTCGTTTTTATTATTTGAGACAGGGTCTTGATAATTTGCTAAGGCTGGCCTTGAACTTGCCATTCTCCTATCTAGCCTCCCAGGTCACTGGGATTATAGGTATGCACCATCATACCTGGGTATGAAGTACTATTTCATTGTGGTACTGATCTGTATTTCCGTGATATTTAGTGATGTTGAATATCTTTTTGTGGTTTTTTTTGTTTTTTTTTTTTGTTTTTTGTGCCATTTGTGTGTCTTCTCTAAAGAAATGTCAAGTCTTTTCCCTATTTGGTCATAAGCAAAAATCTCTCTATCATGGGGTCTCACTATGTTGCCTGGGCCTGTTTCAAAATCCTGGGCTCATGGGATCCTCCTGCCTCAGTCTTCCAAGTCGTTGAGATCACAGGCTGGCTACCATGCCCAGCAAGGATCTGATATTAATATATTCCATTTATTCAATGAAGATCTACTGAGCATCTACCAGGAGTGACAGGCATGGGCATGTGTGAATGGTCTACAAAGGTACAAGGTAGGGGGAAAAGACAGAAGAGCATGCAGATTTCATGAGATTACAAAACAGAAAGGAAATCCCTACTGAGTCCTTCAGGCTTCAAAGGGAATCGTGGTGAAATAGGGTCCTTGAGATCCAATGTCACCCCATTCCTGAGTTCCCTTCCCTATCACTCCTGAATAAGTTCAGTATCATTTGTGACAGTGTCCCTTATCCTAGTGAGTCCAGCAATATCATCTCCCCACACATGCAAAGCTAAGCCCCTGTCTGTGTACCTTCAGAAAATTCCATAGCTCCAGCAAACACTAGGGCTGCAAATTCTCCCACACTAAATCCAGCAGCAGCAATACAATTTTCAATAACCTGCAGTGAGAGATGCAAAAAACGAGGTCAAATTCTCTGGGAGAGCTTAGTTCCAGGGCTCTGCACCTGAGGGATGAGAGTATTTAGCATCATCATAAGCCAAGTTCTGCTGGCGTGGTGCTCTACCTAGAAGACGGTCAACAGGTGGCCCTGACATTCATTGTGTCCAGCCTTTTACTGATGAGGAAATTTCCTGGTAAGGCAGGCTAAAGCCTAGTCATGTCTGGTAACACACAGCCCAACCCAAGGCTCTGGATTCTCTTGTTCTAGCCTGAAGCAGCCTCCCAGGCCATAAGGTATGTAAAAGTTAAGTGCAGAAGTTAAAGGCATGAATTTGGAGTCACAGAGACTGGATTTCTTAGCTTGGGAGAGCTCCCCTATCTCTCTTGAGCCCCCTCTGTGAAATGAGGGCAAGAAAGAGCTTCCTCATGTCACTGCCAAGGGAATTTCGTGAAGATATTGTCAATAAAGAGCTCAGCACAGAGCTGGACTTCAGTAAGCACTGAGTAAATGTTATTATCAAGACTCAAGAGGCCAACTTAACTAATCTATTTATATCCCTGAGTCTCCTTTCCTCATCCATAACAACAGTATTTACTTCACAAGGTAGCTGTAAAACTGAAAGACCCTCAAGTATTAGCTTAACATCTACTGTCTTGATACTACTCAATATTAACAGCCATTAACTTCACTTTCAAGTGAAGCCACCTCAAAATGTCATCTTCTCAATGATCCTTCATTTAAGGATGAAGCTTAATCCTTTTAAAATCATTTAATAAAGGCTGGGGGTGTAGCTGTGTGGTTCAACACTTGCCCACCATTCCTGAGGCCCTGGATTCCACCACCAGGGCAATGACACGAATCATTCAATAATTAATTCAACAGTTAGGACCAACTTCGGCTCCCAACTCCATTCCCTGCTCTATATTTCCTTTTATAACTGATATCTTTGACATGCTACGTAATTGACAGGGCGCTCTTTCTATGGACCGCCTCCCCTTGGGTAGGGATTCTCCTTTTGAGCACCGCGCCAACCGCTACAGCAGCGCAAGGCACCTACGAGAACTCGGAACTCGATAAGAGCCTGCCCAGCATCAGCTATGGAGGCACCCGGCCTGGAAGGCGGGAGCCCGGGCGCAGACCCCCTTCCCTCGAGCCTCACCGCGGGTTGCAGGTGATGGAGCTTCTCGACAGCGGCCAGCGAAGCCACGAAGACAGCGGGCTGGCAGTGCACCGTGCGGTCCAGGTCCTCCTGCGGCCCGTGCAGGCTCAGCTCCAGCAGGTCGTAGCCCAGCACGCGCTGCGCGGCGTCGTAGAGCTCGCGGACGCGCGGGTAGCCGAGCAGACCGCGGCCCATGCCCACCACTTGGCTGCCCTGGCCCGGGAAGAGCAGCACCGAGCACTGGCCGGGCGCTCGCCGCGCCGCCGCCGCCGAGGGCTGCTCCTCCGCGGTCGTCGCGCCTCGTAGCAGCTCTGCCACGTCCACCGCGCTCGGCGGAGGTATTGGGAAGTTAGAGACGCCGCGGCGGCAGCAGACACTGCAGCCCCAGGCCCAAGCGGCCCGCGCGACCCGGGCGCGCATGGTGACACACCTGCTCAGCGCCTGTTACCGTGGCGACTGAGGCCCCAGTGCAGCTGCGCAGCGCCGCGTGGTCCTTCGCTCTTTTCCTGCCGTGCTCCCCCTGGCACCCGGGGGCGGTAGAGAAAGGTTCCGCAGTTACCGTTTCCGCCGCCGCTGGGGACTGTGCGGCTGGAAGACCGGAACCTAACCGGTGTGTTTCCTTCAACCTCTTACAGCCAAGAATAGTTCATAGCACCACACCGCAGCGAACCCTCAACACATACTTATGGACTAAATAATGCAAAGCAATGTAATATTCCCTTCCACCTAGAATGTAAAGAGCACTTGAAAGTCTTCCACATTTCTTCTTGCACACGATTCTGCCAAGGCTAAGCAAGATACCAGCTCTCTTTTATGTTTCCTGCAAACCACACACGACTCCCAGCACGTGACACGCACTCGATAAACCCTCCGCTGTTCAACAAAGCCCTGGATGTTTTCCAGCCTTATTGAATTCCTCGCAGCAAGCAGCCGAGGCCTGGGTGCAATTATTGTCCTCAGTTTACAGAGGAGTAGACAAAGGCTCAAAGGCTGAGTGACAGGTGGGTCTGACAGGAGGATTGAAGTTGGGGTTATCCAGCTCTGAGAGCTGTTGGAGTCCAAGTCTGGCCTTACCTCTCGCCACCCTCCCCCTGCGTTCTGCACTCGCTTCCTGACATCCTCCTGTAGAGAACCCAGTGCGCAGGCGCCACTTCAAGGTGAGAAGTCCTAGGTAGAATCGTGTCTTAGTTTAGTTCACTCCAGCTGCTGGGGAAGGGGCCCGCATCACAGAAACTTCTCACAATTCTGGAGCCTGGGAAGGCTGGGAAGTCCAAGATCAAGGTCCTTGCAGATCCTATGTCTGGTGAGAAGGCTGTCTTCTCGTATCTTCATCCCATTATGGAGAGCAGAAACCGAGAACTCCCACGTCTCTTCTTAAATAAGGGTATTGATCCCTTTGATCCCTTTCACGAGGCCTCCACCCCTACCTCTAACTATCCTGGCCCTGGGGATTGGGGTTCAACCGATGATGTTTGGACACACATCCCTCAGTCCGCAGAAAACCACATCAGCAAATCTGCTTCACTGAGTTTGTCTGAAGAATCAAATAAGCAAAGACCTAATACTCAGGATGTCCGCGGAAGCCTTGTTTGTTTGTTTTTAAATATTTATTTTTTAGTTGTATTTGGACACAATACCTTTGTTTTATTTTATTTATTTTTGTGTGGTGCTGAGGATCGAACCCAGGGCTTTGCACACGCTAGGTGAGCACTCTACTGCTAAGCCACAACCCCAGCCCTATTTATTTATTTTTAAGGTACTGGGGATTGAACACAGAGGTGCTTTATAGCTGAGTACATGCTCAGTACTTTTTTTGGACAGGGTTTCACTAAATTGCCAAGGCTGGCCTCAAATTCAGGATCCTCTTGCCTCAATTCTCCTACGTCCATGGGACTACAGGCATGTGCAACCATATTCAGCCAGCCTGGTTTTTGACAAGGAAAAAGTGGAGGTGAACTGCATGTCCAACTAGGGGGGTTAATTAAGTGCCATATTGCAAACATATAGAATGCTGTGGTCATAAAAATGTGGAAGAGATCTTCAAGTTGAGACTTGCGCTGAGCACACACTGCCTCCGGAAGCCCATAAATCCCATGAAAGGATTGTTTAACCCCCAAGGACAGGGAGAACAGGAAAAGGGACCCCATCAACAAGATCTCTGAAAGCTGAAAAGCAGATAAACCGGTATTAGCTGACTTGGTGACCTCAGATGGCTAAATCCCTCTTAGCAGCAGGGAAAGCAGAAAACCCACCCTTCGTCATGCAACAGAGTCCTCAAACACTTAGGAACTGGTGGCAGCAGCTGCTTCTAGATCTGAGGGTCAACGAAGGTAAAGCAAAGGGGAATGTTTGAATATTCTTGAAAAAAAATGGTTAGGTCCTTTGATCCCCTTCCTCTCCCTGGCCCCTGGATGAGCCCTTTCCGCGCTGGCAAACATCTGGGCTAGCCTGGAAAAGGTCGAACCAGAGGGGACTGGGCATGCCAGGGACAGCAGTGAAGTGCCCACTCTGCTGAAACAGTCAACCCTGAATGATGATTGGAGAACCCTGCTCCAGTCTCTCCCCCAGTGAGGACCCAGAAACCTGGAGCCAGACCCTGACTCTCTAGGCCAGGAACTTGAGGACACTGTGGAGTCTGACCAGTCCAAAGGAAAGGCCTAGGTATTGGCAATGCAGGGAATTTCCAGACAAATGGCCCATGATGTTCACCTTTTATTGAAGTTAAACTAACAAATATCACCCACGAGATTATTTTGTTCCTTCCTTTGAATCCAGCCAAAGATACCTAAGCATCTGAAAGCCCTCATAATCTGGGGAAAAAAAAGGCAACCCGTAGAATTTGGAAACTATGAAGACAGAAGGATTGCTTTTAAGAAAACTGTGGCTGATATCTCTAGGTAAGAGGAGACCCTGCATCTGTGAAACAGGAACAGGAAACAACATTTTATTTTTACTTTAATTTTTTAAGTGGCCGATGGACACAAGACCTTCATTTTATTTATTTATTTTCTGTGGTGCTGAGGATCAAACCCAGTACCTTGAACATGCGAGGCAAGGGCTCTACCACTGAGCCATAACCCCAGCCCCAGGAAATCACATTTAAAAAAAAAAAAAAAAAGAGCATTCACAGAACAACAACAACAACAAAAATCTCTTGAGTGTTGAAAATAAGAGAGAGAGAGCAGGCCCAGCGTGGGGGCACACACCTGTAACCCCTCAACTTGGGAGGTTGATGCAGGAGCATCACAAGTCCCAAGACAGCCTCAGCCCCTTAGTAAGACCCTGTCTCAAAATAAAATAAAAAGGGCTGAGCGTGTAGCTCAGAGTGCCCCTGAGTTCATCCCCAGTACCACAAATAAAATAAAATAACCAGAGAGCGGAATTGAAGAGGCTCCATAGAAGGCCTGAAGAGAAAGTTGAGGATAAAACAAAAAAGCAAACCCTGAAAAATAGGCAAGGAGAGCAAGTCAGAGGAGCAGCCCAGGAAGTTCAGGACCCCGAGTAACAGGATTCAAAAAGAGAAGTGAGAAAACAGAGGAAGGAAATGATCCAATCCTGAAAAACAAAGAAGAGGGGTTTCCAAACTGAAAGGGCCTATTGAATGCTGGCCCAACGGACGGATCAGACCACGCGAGGGAGGAGCCATGTGAACTATCCAAACTCTGGGGCCCAAATCTTAAACTTCCAGGAAGAACCAAGTGGGTTACACACAAAGTCTGCAGCAACAGAACACCCCCCCCCCCGCCGGCTCAGCAGCCAGGTGGCCCTAGCACATGGCAAACCCTCAGAGTCCTGGGTGCTCATCTCCCCCACGGGAAGAACGTGAGGTTCACAGTGGTCACCTCCACACACTCTTTATCAAGAACTCCTGGGGGACAGGCTTAACCCAAAGGGGAACCGATAACGAGGATGATCTTGTCCATCTGTTTTCTGTTGCCATAACTGGATACCACAGACTGGGTGCTTTACAAAGAAGAGAGGTTTATTCAGCTTGCAAGTCTCCAGGCTGGAAGGCCCAAGGTCAAGGGGCCACATGTGGTGAGGGCCTTCTTGATGGTGGGGACTCTGCAGAGTCCCAGGGTGGTTCAGGGCTTCACAAGACAAGAGGGGAACATGGAAGAGACAGAGCCAAACTGCCCTTTATAACAGACCCACCTTTGAGATGACCCATCGACCCTGCAATGCACTAGTTCATGAATGGATTAGACCATGAAGACAGTAAACCTACTAATCTCCTAAAGGTCCCAGCTGGTCTCTCCTGTCTCTCTCTGTCTCCCTCTGCCCCGCCCAGAGCTGAGATGGAGACCTGGGTCCTCATGCATGCTAGACAAGCATTCTACCACTGAGCTCCGTCCCCAGCTGTTTTCATTTTATTTTGAGACAGGATCTCACTACATTTCCCAGGCTGGCCTCCAACTTGTGATCCTCCTGCCTCAGCCTCCCAAGAATGGGATTACAGGTGTGCACCACTACACCTTTCTGATTTGTTATATATGACAGCTATAATTCATAGTACACATCTAGAACACAACATTTCATGTCTCTGGTTGTACACAAAGTAGAGTCACATCATTCATTTCTTCATACATGTACTTAGAGTAATGATGCCCATCTCATTCCACCATCTTTTCTACCCGCTTGTCCCCTGGTCCCACCTCTTCATATCTCACAATGGGGATTAATTTTCAGGAATTTTGGTGGGAATGTTCAAACCACAGCAGATATAAAATCCAGGAGATGAGGATCCATTCGGGAGAGAGGACAAGGACATCCAGGGGTCTGGCGCAGGGAGACCCCAAGGTGACGTGTGTCCTGGGCATGTCAGGCTCCTGGGAACAGCATGATTCAGGGATGTGTCCAGAGCTGTCAGTATCAAGGTCCCTGCTGCTGTGCTGCCCATTGAGCAGCAGGATGAGAGGTAAAGGGGCACACCTTGGGAATCCCAGAGACT